ATAAAGGGCAGAGGCAGTTAAAGGCTACATTTGCATCCTGGAACGGGAGTCTGACAAGGTCTCCTGCTGTCGACATTTATTGTTTGCAAATGAGATAATCCAATAACCGGAGAGCCAGCACCCGAGAAAGCCCTCCCCGGCCTGCCCTCCCAGGAGGGAGCGGTGATGCGCCCCCGTCCCTCTCTCAGGTGGGACACCTCGGGAGGACACCAGAGGAGGACGCAGGCGGGCAAGGCCCCTACCATCCACCACATACCATATCACCTGTTCAGCGCACCACCTGCAAAGCTGGAATTAGCATCCCCATCCACCCAGGGGAGAGTGGAGGCTCAGAGGCCCCGTGTTACACAGCTGGAGGGTGAGCAGAGCTGGGAAGGCAGCTCAGCGCTCTCTGGGCTTTATCTTGTGCTGTTTGGCATAACGGACCTCCGTGACCATGGCACCTGTGCTAATTCACAGCGGTTTTTATTAAAATTATTGTTAGTGTGGAGTTCCCATCTATCCTGTTTCTACCCACCTCTGGGGACCCAGTTCTGGTTGTCAGGACTTCCAAAGAACCCTCTAAGAAATTCTTAGAGGTGCACAAAATCTACTTTCCAGACTCAAATTAGGATTCTGGCAAAGGATTATTGTTTAGTTTGTAAATCTCACTCTCCTGAAAAGTCTTACAAAGGATTAACATATTGGGTTTAATGACACATTTCATGGGTGGCTTTATGTTAAAAGAATACCATTATTAGCTCTGTGGGGCCAGGGGCCTCCTCTAAGCTGCCACAGCCCGCCCCACACCCATCCCTGAACTACCCTCTGTCACAGCCCAGGATGCTAGAGACACTGGACTATCACTGGGTCTGAGTCCAGGATAACAGCAGGATCTGAATAAATGTTGGATAGGTGGATGGATGGATGGATGGATGGATGGATGGATGGAAGGAAGGATGATGGTTGGATGGATGGCTGGACAGATGGATGGATGGAAGGATGATGGTTGGATGGATGGGTGGATGGATAGATGGATGGATGGGTGGAAGAAAGGGTCTGTTGGTGGATGGATGGATGGATGGGTGGAAGGAAGGGTGGATTGGTGGAAAGATGAATGGGTGGGTTGGTGGGTGGGTGGATGGAAGGGTCAGTGGGTGGATGGACAGATGGACAAACACCCTTAGTGCTGGCTTTGGTCTCAGGCAGTGACCATTCTGAGTGGACCAGAATTGGCTCCAGCAGCCATGAAGCATGAGCTCCCTTGTTCCTATAACAGCCCACAGGCAGTGGGAGTGCCTGACTGGCTTCCCTTTCCCAGGCACACGAGCAAGCCTGCCTGGCCAGCTCAGGCCTCGCATCCCTGAGCCAATGGCAAGGGTGGGGGACATCGTGACAGGCCTGGGGCATCACAGAGTGCATGGATGCTGGAGGTCAGCCGCATGCCACCACAGTGGCCACGCTTTTAGGGTCTAAAATGTTAAGATCCATCATTCTGAGCATAACCCAATATCCCCACATCTCCAGCCTGTGGGCCACACTGTGCCCAGGTCAAATGTCTGTGTCCCCTCACCCCCACCCCCGTGTCCAGGTGCTAGAAGGCTCATTCAGGCGAGAATAAGCATCTCGAGCCCTCACTCTGTCTCACGCCCACTGCTAGGAGCTGGGGCCACAGGCCTCAGCCAGACCATGTGGGAAGACCCAGGGCTCCTACACTGCAGGGCCCATGGTCCTCACACGGATCCCACCACCCCTAAGCTTGGACACAGCCCCCCCTTAAGTCTCCAAAGCTCAATTAAGTCCAGGCCAGAGTGAGCAGTTAGTGATCAGCAGAAGTTTCTGGAAAGCGTGGGGTTAATTACCAGCAGGAAGAATACCAGATGAAGGGGGAGGGGGAGAAGGTAATCAGAGGTCACGTCCACAGCCGTTTCACTCCTCCTGGGGCCTGGGGCCTGTGTCCTCCTGGCACTGTGACCTGCCTGCTGCCCCCAGGCCTCCAGTGAGCCTGAATGGAGGGACAAACCCAGGACCCCCGTGAGGTACAGCTTCCCCAAAACAAAGCAGCCCTTTGCCTCCAGCTCAGGATCAGCAAGGAGCCACGGAGGCAGGTTCTGAGAGGACCTTGTCCCCTCCCATCCCCACCCCAGGCTTCAGAGCCCCACAAAGGCCACGCCTGGACCCTGACACATTCCGTCACCCAAGACACTGAACCTGCCCCAAAGCACCCCGTCCTGGGGCCTCTGTCCTGGGCCTGAGGAATGGGCGCATTCTACCCACTGGTATGAGGCCAGACACTTCTGGAAAGTTCCAAGGGCTGAGTAAATGCCAGGCCCAGGGGTCAGGTCCTCACCGCCACCCCCACCCACTCGAGGAGCTCGGGACGCGGTGACGCTATGTCTCCGTTGAAAGGGTCCGCTTCCCCTCAGAGGAGGGGCCGAGAGTTAGTTCATCCCCGGCCAGGATCAGTCATCGGCAAACGAGATTAAATGCCCTGAAATGGAATTAAAACGACGTCAAACAGCAGAACCTCATTTTCTTAACTCAGCCCTGTGAGCCGCTTCCTGCATTAACCCCTCACTGACCGTGTCTCAACCCCCAAGAGGAGCTCCCAAGAGCCAGAGCCACCCAGACCCCTCTGTGCTCCTGCACCCAGCCCAGGACTGCCTGGGATGGTGCCCAGGGTCGCCCCTGCAGATGCCCACCGACCTTTTGAGTCCTTGGAAGAGCAGGTGGATCCTCTGGCCTCGAGCCACAGCTGGAGGAACCTGCAGCCCGAGACCTTGCAGCCGGGGTCTCAGCCCCTGGTGGGGGTCCAGGGACACGGGGCAGAACGGGGAGGAAGGGAGGGAGCTGGCCAGTTTCCTGGGTCTGTCCCTGGCCCCTTCTTATATTCATTCATTCATTCACGTCTTTTCTCCCTGTTAGCACACACCTGCATGGCCTCCCTGGGGGACCAGCCAGCCCCAGACCCCTTCACCGCTGTCTGGAGTGGGGGCTGGAGAATGCAGAGCCACTGACACAGATTCTTTGTCCATCTTGGAAGAGAGGAGAGGACTGATGATGCTGGGTCCAGAGTCCCAGGGAGGCCACGGGCAAGTGGGCTCCTGCTCTAGGACTGACAACCTTTCCCATGGGGCCGCCCACACAACCTCTCCCAAGTGCCCCCATTTCCCTGGGGGTCTGGAGCTCCCTTAGAGCCAATACAGCAAAGCCCCCGCCCGGCCCACCTGGGCAACGTGCCTAGGCCGTGAGCGAGGGCGGGGAGGGTCCAGCGTCTGCATAGCCCGTGCCCTGCCCAGCTCCCACCCTTCCACCAGGATGTCTGTCCAGGAAAATAATGCCACCGGAAACCCATGTCTCCTTGGGAGGCTTTGATTATTAGAACAGCCAAGAAGATCCGCAAAGTCGCTGGAAGTCCTTCCTAATAATCGGCTCCTGGCCCCGATCGTTATTTCTCATTTTCTCTGAAACAATCGCTTGTCAGAGAGCATGGTCGGTGATCTGCCAATTCATCATGTCGGACGGCGGCGGCCCAGCCATGTGCACACCTCCCAGAGTTTATGGGCCGCCTTCGCGCCTGTCAATAGCTGTAAATGGTGAGATTTACAAGACAAGCCAGGACAGCCTCCTGCCAGGCCATGGTCCCAGGGGCTGCTGGACAGAGGGTGCCCCCTGTGCATGAGGAATACATCCTCATGTATTCCCCCCCAGTGCCTGGCCCAGCCAGAGGCTCGGTCTGCCCCTAGCTTTGCTGCATCCACCCGATCACTCATGCCCGCCTCGTTCCTCTGCTGAGCCTGGCTCTGCCCGGTTCTGAGGCTCCAGGAGTGATCAGTGACCACTGAGGCCTGAAGGACCCCTCTGGGTGCCCCCAACCACCTGCCCACCAAGCAATAGGCCTCTTGGCTCGCCATTCTGCTGAAATGGGGATCCCTCCCCCCTCCCAAAGCAGCTTGTCCCACTCTGGGAGCGGGGAGTTCTCCCTGATTTGGCATGAGGATCGGCCACCCCAGCACCTTCCCATACCAGGCCTCCTCCCCCTCGGCACAGCCCTCGCCCCGGGTCGGCCTCTCCCTATGCCTGCACCTCCCCGGGGAAGCTTGCCCGGATAACCTCCAAACACCTCTGCCAGCCTGTCCTCCTGTGGGTAATCCCCAGCCCCGCCCAGGGGCGTGCCCTCCACTAACCCGTGTCACCGAGTTTCAAAAGCCAGCTTGAAGATTGAGCTCCACCCGAGGTGGGTTGAATGGGAAAGGCTGGGGCAGTCACCTCCTTCACCCCAGACCCTATATCTCCATTAGAGCATCCTCAGCTCCAGTTAGGAGCCTAGAATTTGCTGCTCACTGACGCCTCTATCGGTCAGAGTTCTCCAGAGAAACAGGACCAATCGGATGTGTGTGTACACATATATAAAGAGATTCATTATGAGGAAGTGGCTCATGCGACTATGGAGGCAGAGACGTCCCACAATCTGCAATCGGCAGCTTCAAGGCCCAGGAAGAGTCGATGTTTCCATTCGAGTCTGAAGGCAGGAAAAAGCCGATGTCTCAGCTCAAAGGCCGTCAGGCAGGAAGAATTCCCTCTTACTCAGGGGAGGGTCGGCTTTCCATTCCATTCAGGCCATCAACTGATTGGGTGAGGCCCATTCACATTGGGGAGAGCAATCTGCTTTGCTCAGTCTACCAATTTAAACACAAATCTCACCCAAAAATGCCCTCCCAGGCACTCAGAATAATGTTTAACCAAATGTCTGGGCACCTGGTGGCCCAGTCAAGTTGACATAAAATTAACCATATCAACACCTCTCCTTTGGTTCCCCTAAAAACACACAGCTGGTTAATCTGCCCCCACCCTGTCCCCCTGTGGTTAGTTTGTGTCCTGCCATGCAGTATGTCCCGGACACCTGGTCAGAATGATTTTCTCTTTAATATTCCCCGGAACAGCTGCAGGGTTCCTGGAGGGAGGGAGGGATGTTTCCCACCCTCCTCCTCCCTCCAACCTCAGGGTCGAGCCCCCTGCGTGACACTGGACACTGGACAAAGCCTAGCCAGAGGCCACCCTGCAGCATCCCAGGCCCCGCGGATGCCCTACAGCCCACAACCTCAGACTCCCAGGACCCTTCTGCAGCCTTATTTGCTGACCAGAGCAGGAGGCAGGCTCTCTTGGGGGACACCCACAGCCCGTCATGACCAGTTGTGGCTGCAGAGACTGGACACCGAGCTATAGAGAAGGGGCCCCTTCTTGCAGGGCCAGCATAGCCAGGCTGCCCCCATGCTCCTCCGGGACACTGGCCCCAGGCCCGACTGGGAGTGGAAGCTCCATGGTGCCCTCTGCTCACAGTGCAGGAGTGGCCATGGCTTCAGGAGGGGCATTGCAGGAAGAGAGGGCTGAGACCCCTGGGCCTGGGGGACCAGGCCCAGGAACCCCTCAGTCACCCCAGGGTGGTTGCAGGACCGGCTCTCCCCATCAGGGTTCACCCAGGAGGAAAGAGTAGCCATTGTTCTCTGGCTAAAGCTGTGCTGACTATTTACCGAGCCCCAGCACGCCGAGCCCTGAACCCTCGCGTTGCTGCGTTATTCTGTGAGCATCTTACAGATAAGAAAACAGAGGCTCAAGAGGTAAGTTCTGTGCTTCTAGGACCAAACCCCTGTGCCATCCGGCCTCAGTGGAGCCAGCCTGCCTCACCGGCCCTCGTCTGCTCTCTGCACTCACTTCCCCACTCCACGGGGGGTTCCTGCAGCAGCACGACCCTCGCACCAAGGCCGATGCACCAGGGCCAGTCCCAGCTCACTTTCTGCTGAGAGTCAAAATGAAGCACTGGTTCGTTTTTCCAGGAAAAGAGCCAGCAGCAGGCAAAGCCTCCCTCGCCCTGGGCCTGGTTCCTCCAAGGTTCCTCCTGGTTCCTCGGAGACTCCAGTCAGCAGCTCTGGGCTGGCGTCTTGGTCCCTGAACCAGAGACTGGGCACTTTGGGGGTGAGGGGTCCAGGACACCCAACCTGCCCACCCGGGCTCGTGGGCTCCCGGGAGTCAAGGCAAAACATCCCAGTCTCTTTCCTTCAGGAAATCTAAAAAGAACACAGAATACTTTGAAACAAGAAGCCAAATATTTATTAAATGTTTCAGAATCCATCACAAACCACAGATGCTGGGTAGAACAAAACCCTGATTTCGGAAGGAGATGGGAAACCACAGTAAGAGGCTGGGAGAGCGCCTGATAATGCTCGTGGGCCCCGAGCATCTGACACCCCAATTCTCTGCACAGGGCCAAGGGGGAACCCGTCCCTACTCCGCCCCGGTCACGGACTCCATCCGCCCAGAGAGAGTCTGAGGCGGTAGAGAGGGACTTCTCAAGTTCAGTCAATCTGCGGACGATGCACTGACCCATGCACTGTGCTGTGCAGGGCTGACCCCAGAACACGGCGACGGGGCTGAGAGGCGCGTCAGCCGGCCAACACCACCTCCCCTAAGACACGGAAGCCCAGAGCTGGCCCCTTGGTGGTCCCTGAGCTGGCCTGGGACATCATGTCACAGAGCTCCGTGGAATCACCTAGCTAGGGGCTCACGGTCCTGCGACCTCCGGGAAGGCGGGTGAGCACACCAGGGCCTTGAGCCTATGGGATGAAGGGATATCAGACAGGAGATGCTCTGCCAGAGACACTCTCCCGGCTCCCCGGGCTGTCACAGAAGTGGGAGCTCTTCTGGCTCGTCGAGAAGGCTCTCTAGAACAGGGGCCACTGGGAGCACACGGTTTGGCCCTCTTGGAGGGTATGAGCGCCCTCTTGGAGAGGCAGAGCCCGTCTCTCCGTAGAGAAGACTCTAGAAGCTGTGCGGTCTCTGCATGCTTGAGGACAGAGAGGTTGTCGGAAGGGCAAGGCTGCAGAAGGCGGCTCAGGCGCGCCTGGCTACCTCGACTCAAGACCCCCTAGACCCCCTCCCCCTCCCTCCCTCAATTCCCCCTCTCCCTCCCCCGCCCCCCTCTCCCCTCTCCCTCCCTCTACACCCCTATGCCTGTTCCTTCTTGGCTCCTCCTACCCCAGGCCCCATCCCAAGGGATCCTATGGAAGACCCCAAGCCAGCAGCAGGAGGAGCTCCCATGGTGGGGGAGGGACCGGCTGTGTTATTCCCCCTCTAACACCCACGGTCCCTGACACGGGTACAGCGTCCAGGGCAGTGCCTGCACGTGCCGGGCTCGAGGTGTGCTGGTGACAGTGACTTGGCATTCCACGGCCGTGGTTCACTGAGCACTCACCGCGTCCTGGTGCCAGCCCAAGTCAGGCAGGTGCCGCCCAGCCCCAGCAGGCAGGCTCTTCACACACGAAGGGAGGTGCTGACAGGACGATTCTGCACCCACGGGGGTCGTGGGACATCTGTCACCACCCTGGCCGCTCCAGTCACCCCAGGGGCCCCGCAGCGAGGCCTGGAGGGCGCTGGACAGGGCTGGAGGGCCGCGGGGCTCCGGAACCCGGACCCACACCCCTCGGCCGCACAGGCAGCGGGAAGCTAGGCTTCTCCATACAGTTGCGTGTGTCACAAAGCCGAGCTCGGCAGGAGCTGTTTGCAAAGGCTCTGGGTAAACAGCAATTATCAGTAATTAAGAGAACTCGGCTGTTAGGAAGACGCGGGGGGCTGGGAACCATTCAGGGAAGCAGTGACCTTTGCGCAGGCGAGGTGGTGCGTGTGCCACGCTGGACATGCTGCCACCCCCAGGTGATGGGCCGCCGGGCTGCCCCCAGGACCACTTCAAAGGTCTGGGTGGCCAGGCTCCCAGGGCCCACCCGAGGGAGCCCACGCAGCCCCCAGGACCTACAGTGGTGATAAGAGGGGCGGGCTGGCAGGAGCCCCAAAAGTGACACACATCTGCCCCCAGAGTTGGGGTGGGGGGAGCCTGGGCTTCTGCAGGTCCACAGACCCCTGAGGTGCCATCTGTGGGGCCCCCCATCACTGTGGCCCTTGCGGTCCCCCAACCCTCTGGCAGGGAGGGGCGCATGGATGTACCTTAGGAGGCCACTCCCCTCCCCGGGCAGCAGGTCTGCCTCTCAGAGAGGCCCACAGCCTCTTCCCTGACCTTCCAGGACTCCAGCCCCCACCTCGTGCCCATGGTCACCCAGATGACCCCCAAACGCCAGACTCAATGGGGGAACACCAGCTCCCGCTCTAGTCCCAGGACCAACTCCCCGAGTCCCCTGTGACTGCTAATGCACACGCCTACAAATCCGGGATAGAGCAGAGTTCACACAGGCTGAGAACTTAGGAATCAAAGAGAAAAAGTGGGCAAAAAGGTTAAAGTGGCAATTCACAGAAGAAGGACAAATGACCACAAAGCATGGAAAACATGCAATCTCATGTAGCCAGATGAACTCCAACAGTGAGGGCCATCTCTCAGCAAGCCGGCAACAGAGACGAAGAAGACGGGATCTCAAATGTGCTGGGGGGTGGGGGGATGAGGAGGGAGAGCAGGCGAGAGGGTGGGCAGGCCACCTTCTCCTGATGGCACGTGTGTGCACTGGGCCCTCTGGTGCTACCTCAGAGGATTATTTGGGGCGAATTATGGGACAGAGTTCAGGAAGCATCCATGCATCTGGGTGCAGCGTGAAGACCACGGGGAGGGTCGGGCCCTCGGGGGACTTGGTTCCAGTGGGGGAGACAGTGAAAGCAAAGAGACAAAGGAAATGCAGTTCCCGATGGCGAGAAGTGCTGTAAAGAAGCAAACAGGGTCTGGAGGACTAGGAGCTGACCTGGTGGGGCAGGAAGAGGGGTGCATCTAGATGGGCTGGGGGTCAGGAAGACTCTGGTAAAGTGATAACCGAACGGAGACCCCAGTACAGCGACGGACCAACTAGGAGAATGTTGGGAGGGGGAGGAAGCCCCCTCCCAAGAATGTTAGGAGGAAGTCAGAATTCCCGGGATGTGCAAAGGTCCTGAGGCAGGAGTGGGCGTGGATGTCTAGGAAAAGCAGCAGGTAGGAGGAGGGGGCTGAGTGCTGGGGTGGGGAGATGCTGGGACTCGTGCTTGGGGAGGTGACAGAGGACCACCATCACAGCTAGGGAGACTTGGAAGTGCCTCAAATGGCCACCCAAGGACTGATGGTCATGGTTAATGGCGCCTCCAAGTGATAGAACCCTCATCAAGCATCAGACATTGTGTTGGACATATAATTATTTACAATAAAAGATCCTCAAGATTTAAAGAGCAGTGTGTGTAACACAGTCTCGACTTGTAAGGATAAACGTGACCTAAATAATACAAACTCATGCACAGAAAACACCTGAGAAGCTTTGACGCCGAAGCAGCCACAGTGGTCATCTCGGGGGATGCGACGGTGCAGGGTGACAGTTTTTCCTCTTGCTTACTTGGATTTTCCAAACTTCCTACCATTAACGTCGCACCACAATACAGCTGTTAGTTCACCAGGCAGATCCACGCGGTTCTGCGGGAGGCTCCGCCGTCAGGCCATCCGCCCTCACAGGAACCTCGTGCAGCGTGCCCGAGGGTTTCCCACGTGCCGGGCGCTGGCTCGGCGGGTGCCGGGAGCGGCCTGTGGTCCCCACCCGTGAGCAGGGAGGCAGCCCGGGCCCAAACCTCTGGCCCTCACTCCAGCCCTGGGAGCGGCCTCGCTTCCTCCTCTCCACGCGGGGTCACGGAAGTATTGTGTGTGGTGTTGTGACGAGCAGAGAATTCACGTGAGAGAAGCTGTCCTCACGGTCTGGCGGGTGAGAGTCTGGTCCAACACCGTCATTCCCACTCCACGGAGGAGGCCCAGGACGGGGACGCGCCCATGCGCCCGCCGGGCGGCAGGCGGACGGCTGTCGGCTCGCTCACATCCATGCCGTTTCCTCATGTTAACAAAATAAAACAAAACTGAGTTCAGGTAAAGGAGGGGCAGCCCCTGCCCCGCGCAGAGGGAAGCACGGCTCCTCGTGGCAGGCATGGCGTCCCTCTCTCCTTGCTGGCGATTGGTCTTGGGTGAAGCCCCGGCCGGTGAGATGTGAAGGGGGTCTCCTGGGCTGTGGGAAATGCCTCCTCTCCTTCCTG